GGCCTTTGTCAGAACACATTCTGAGTTTACAGAATGACAGAAAAGAGACTATTCATAGCTCTCACTGCCCTATAGATAAGCCTTGTAGTATATCTTGGATTTTTACACTTCCTTTCCCATTAGAATACAAATTCCTTGAGGGCAGGGACTATATCTTATATAAGGCAATATACCTTGTATATTGTTGGCACTCAAATTATATGTGAAATCACCACAAATAAGTATCTGAGGTCATACATATGTTAATTAGCTTGATTTAGCCATTCCACAATGTACAGATTTCAAAACATCATGTTGTACTCAATAAATATATGTCAATTTTAAAACATAAATAAATTTTAAGAATTACATGTAACCTATTTATAAGGATGGTAAACAGCTATTTTCTATATCCAAGATTAAAATGAGGAAGACTTACTATTAGCTAAAACAATATGTGCTTACTATGTGCCAGACACTATTCTAAACATTTTGCATATAATAACCATCAAATACAACCACCCTCTGAGGTTACTAAGCATTGCTGGAAAACAGCCTAAATGATTCATTTTCAAGAATAGCTTAACAAGGGTTGCTTGACTAACTTGTTTCCTGAGGGTAGCTTCTCATGATGGTGGCTGATCACCTTATTCTTTTTAAGTCCTGGTTCTTTCTCCTCAGGACTTCTGGGGGCCTTTTTTGCAGGCTTGTCCTGAGCCCACCCCTTTATGCCAGAGGGAAGGGGACAATAAATGCCTTATAAGGAAGTAATAAAACTTAGACGACATTCAGGAAGATTGTGCACTCCATAGTACTCAGCCAATGAGGAACTGGGGGAGGGACTTGCACACTAGGGAATAAATAGCTTGATGTAACATTTCAGGGGGCTGGCCCGGTGGCGCACAGCTATAGTGCGCCACTTGGGAAGCGTGGTGGTGCTCCCGCCGAGGGTTCGGATCCCACATACAGACCGGCCGCTCACTGGCTGAGCGAGGGGCGGGGGCAACACCGAGGGTTGCGATCCCGTGGCCGGTCCTTTTTTTTCCTTTTTGTCTTTTTTACTGACTGGCAACGGGATCGTAACCCTTGGTGTCGCGCCCGTACCGGGGACCAGCAACGGGACAGCAACTCTCCGTGTTGCACCTGCACCGCGCTCAGCCAGTGAGCGGGAACCAGTCTCCACATGGGATCCGAACCCTCAGCGGGAGCACCGCTGCACTCCCAAGCGGCGCACTCTCCAGTGCGCCACCGGGCCGGCCCGCAAGGTCATTATTAAAGTGTCACTTCTTGGGCCGAGCCCGTGGCGCATTCGGAGAGTGCACGCTGGGAGCAGCAGCGCTCCCACCGCGGGTTCGGATCTTATATAGGGATGACCAGTGCTCTCACAGCGCTCACTGGCTGAGCACGGTGCGGCCGGTCTCAAAAAGGACAAAAAAAAAAAAAATAGTGTCACTTCTCTGTACCTCGTGTCTCCGTGTCCATCCTTTGGCACTGGATGGGTGAGGGCACTTCTCACAGTTACACCCATTTCATGAAATGACGCACAGAGAGATAAGTAACTTACTCAAGGTCATAGTCATTTTGTGACCAGGCTAGGGTTTGAATCCACACAATCTGGCTGCAAAGTTCCATTCTTAACTTCACTATTCAGCATCTCAGGAAAAAGTTAACAGTAAACGGAAAACTTTAACCACTCCAGAAGTCTGGCCTCAAGGTATCTATGAACTAATAAATTCTCTGAGCCTGCAGTTTTGGGTCTCTCATCCCAGCAGCACATACAGTAGAAAATGGGCTGGAATAAGAGTCATGGGATCTGAATTCTAGTCCTGACTCTGTAACTAACTGGTAGTATGATCTCAAGTTACATGACAGTCTTTGTAGACCACAGTCAGAAGCAGAGGTGGAAGAGGAGAAGGAAGAAAAGGCTGCTGAAGTTGATTTCCTTCTGGACCAAAAGGTCTATTACTCTTTCTTCCTCTTGATTTTACTGGTGAGAAAAAGGTCTAAAATAAACCAATTCACTATCCAGCTGCCAAACTGGCCTAATTCCCACAGTGAGATCTCCAGGCCTGGACACATATCACTGGCATAGAAAACATGTTGGGCTTTCTACCTCTATGCTCCCTCTCTCCTGCTATGGTGAGAATAAAAGACAAGGTGCACAGGCCATCAAATTGACATTTACTTAATAAAAGGCTTGGGGAACTACACCACAATAAACTGAAGAGAAGGGCAACATAATCACATCAAGTCTTGGCTTTAAGATTCCTAACGATATTGCTGGGCATGTACTTATTCACATTCATTCAACAAACAAAATTCCAGTTTGTTCATCCCAATGGCCTACACAACATCTCCACTTGAACATCTAACAAACATCCCTAACTTAACCCATGACACAGAACTCAACCTCCACCCCCCAAAATGCTCTTCCCCTCCTGCCTCCTCGTCTCAGCATATGGCCCTCTTCTCTCCTGCTTGCTTTTGCAAGGATGAGCTAGCTGCTATCCTTGAGTCCTCCTTTTCCCCTACACTACGCCAGCAAGCCCTGCTGGCTCTATCTTCAAAATATACCCAGGTCAGACTGCCTCTCATCACTGTCATGCCTTCACCCTCTTCAAGCTAACTTCGTCTTTTGCCTAAAGCAGACTTCCAATTGGTCTCCCTTCCTTTTACCCTTGCCTCACTCCACCCTGCAGATACAACAATCTCCTAAACACAAATCAGATTAAGTCGCCCAATCGAGGGTTCTAAGCAAGAATTAAATTCAAATACCTCACGCTTCTAACCTTGCCTCACTCCACCCTGCAGATACAATGATCTCCTAAACACAAATCAGGTTAAGTCACCAATGAAGGGTTCTGAGCAAGAATTCAATTCAAATTCCTCACCACGGCCTATAATGTCCCATATAATCTGGACCCAACCTATGTCTACCTCAATCTTCCCTACTTCTCCTATTTGCCTGGTCAGTTCCAACCACCCTGTTGTTCCTCAAACAACCTACCTTATTCCAACCCCAGGGCTTTTATAATTGATGAAGTCTCTGCACCAATATCAATCACCTCCTCTGAAAGGCCTTCCCTGACCATGTTCTCTAAAACAGCCCCAAGACCACTCATCCGCCTTCCATGGTTATTCCCTCATTCTGTTTTATTTTCTTCAGAATATTTATCACCATCCAAAATTATATTATATGTTTCATTTGTCTTCCCCTGCCCCTCCTATCTTCACTAAAATGTAGGCTCTACAGTGAGAACTTTCTCTTTCACTACTCTATCCCCAGCTTCAATAACAATGCTGGGCACAGTATTTGTTGAATGAATGGATTTTCCCAGTCTCTAATATGTGCTAAGTCCTGCGCTAGTTGCTAGAGATACCTCCAACTCTTGTCATCTCTCTTTCCCTTCATAGCCAAACCTTCAGGTAGTTCCCCAGTTTCTCATTTTCATTCAGGATTTAAGACACTGCAATCTGGTCCACTCCCTACAAATCTATCCTCCAGAGAATATCTTTCCAAAACACGAAAATCACATCATGTTATTCCCTGGCTTAAAATTTCCTAAAAACTCACACCCCACTGCCCTATCCTCCTGTCAAAGTTCATCTCCTGGCATCAGTCCCTCCTTTCTGCCCCAGTAATGCCACGCCTTCCCCCACACCGTAAACCTGGCAATCCATCAACTACCATTCTTTTTTGGGATAGCTTCATAAATTCATCCATGAAACTGAGGAGCCTCTCATGTCTGTTCTTCTACTACAGCTTCTTTTTTTTTTGATAGCTGTCTGGAATGGGGTATCTGTACCCCTGACCTTGGTGTCATAACAACACATTCTAACCAACTGAGCTACCCAGCCAGCCTCTTCTACTACAACTTCTAAGTATAAATTTATTATAGTTCTTACTACACTGTATTATTATCACCTCTCTAGTCTTAGAGGGCTGGAACTCTCCCCCTTTGTTTTTTGTCCCCAATGTCCAGCACATCTCTGCATAGGTAAGTATTCAAAACATGTTTATTAAATGAATAGATTAATGCAAGGGTCAGCAAACCACAGCCCATGGGCCAAATCTGACTTACTATCTGTTTTTGTACAGCCTGCTAGCTAAGAATGGTTTTTACACTTTTAAATAACTGGGAGGAAAAAACTTTAAAGAGAATAATATTTTGTGGTGCCTGAAAATTATGAAATTCAAATTTCAGTGCCCATGACGATTTACTTGACCACAGCCCTGTACATCTGTTTACGTATAGTCTCATGGCTGCTTTCAAGCTACCACAGAAGAGTACAGTAGTTGCAGTTGAGACAATACGGCTAACAACATTACATTTGCTATCTGGCCCTGTACAAAAAAAGTTTGCTGACCTCCGAATTAAATATAAATGAACATGGGCTTTGGTTTCTGACAACACTTGATTCAAAGCCCTGGCTTTACCACTTACTGCATGTGTGACCTAGGACAAATAACCTAAACCTCTCTGAAACTCAACTTCCTAATCTGTAAAATGGAATAACATACACCCTGCTGGGATGTTTGAAATTTTAATAAGCCTTTTAAACGTGGTCCCTACTGTAGGAATCAGTCTATGAAGTTTCTGGTACAGAATATAGATTAATGTTGAGAACCCAGGCCTGGACTTGAATTCCAGCCTCATTACATGCTGTGTCACCTTCAGCAAGGCATTTAACTTCTCAGTGCATCAATTTCCTCATCTATAAAACTGGGATAATAATATTTATCTCATAGGACTGTTATGAGAATTAAATGAGTTGGTATATATGAAATGTTGAAAACAGTGCCTGGCACACAGTAAGCACTCAACAGATTATTACTATTAATATAGCAGACGCTCAGTTAATGTTAGTTGCTCTCCCTCCTCCTGACTTTACATCTACTCTACCTCCTGCCTCCATTCCCAAGACTAAGGAGAAGACACGCAAGTAAGTCAACGCTTGCATGACAAATGCCACTGTCAGAAGGCGTCTTCCAAGTCAATACACAATGTTTCTCCTTTTACCTTGGATTGTTTCTACCCTGACTCCTTCGCCTCCATTCCCAAGACTAAGGAGAAGACAGGCAAGTAAGTCAACGCTTGCATGACAAATGCCACTGTCAGAAGGCATCTTCCAAGTCAATACACAATGTTTCTCCTTTTACCTTGGATTGTTTCTACCCTGACTCCTTCTCTGTCCCTTGTGCCTAAGCATGAACTCATTTCTCTCTATTCTATGCTTTCTCCCTTAGCAATCCAGCCCTTCTCCAGGCTTCAATGTAGAGTGCTATAAAATTCTTGTCTCTAGCCCTGATTTCTTTCCACCAATCCCCAGTATAGTATCTCCTGACTTCTGATTTTTATCTAATGGCCTACCATCACCTTAAAATCAAAATGTCAAAAGTTGAAAATCATTCTTTTTCTTGTCTCTCCCCTTCTATCCTTCCAATTTACTAGAAGAATCTACAATTCTTCCGGCATCCTGGCTGGTTGTCCTTCAATTATACTATATTCCTTGCTTTACAAAGAGACTTTATTTTAAATTATCTTTTTCCTTTCTGTTCCTACTGCCATTGACTTAGCTTGGGTCCTTTTTATTTGAAGCTCATTCCAGCAAAAAGCCTTAAAACCAGGCTCCCTGTTGCAGACACCAACCTATTCCTCATAAACTACCACACTAATCTTCCTAAAGCATACTTTTCATTGTGCCCTTTCTCAGCTTAAAACTTTCTGTTTGATTAGAGTGTGGTGTTCCAACACCAAGGTCAAGGGTTTGGATCCCCATACCAGCCAGCTGCCAAAACCAACACAACTTCTGATGCACTATCCCCTTCTCCATCCCATAATCTGCATGAAAAAAGGACAAGATTAACCTTAGTGTGGCAATCAAAAATCCTTCACTTATCTACATTGCTCCAACCTCCACTTTTCTGATCTTAATTCCCATGACAGAAATACCATCACGTTACATTTACGCAGCTTTATCTACCTTAGAAAACCTTCTTATGCACACTGGCATTTCATCTCCACAACAACCAGGCATTAGTATTCCTCGTTTATAGATCAGAAAACAGACTTCTAGCACTGAACTGGAAGTCAGAACAAATGGGTTCTTGTCTCACTTCCAAGACCCTTGGAACCTTACATAAGTCAATCAATCTTTCCACTACACCTCTCTCCCACCACTTACATACTGGAGTCTCCTGTTCCAGAAACTCTGGTATCCTCACTGTTGTCCCACCCTCCTCTCTGCAACACACCTGTTTTCTTAACTCTGCATTTTACCTCCTACCATTCTCTCACTAGGGAGATACCCTTGCCCCCAACTCTTCCTGTAAAAGTACAGCATTTTTTCAAGTCTTGAATTTAAGTGCCAGCCTTTCGGAAATGCCTTCTCTGACACCCAGACACTGCCTCATTCCACTTGTCAACACTGTGGAACTTGTAGTAAACTACTTACACTTTTTACTGCCCCAGTCCTACTACAGCTATCTTATTTTACATACTTAGAGCTTACTGCTTCAGCCGTGCCATATACCCCTCCAAGAGAAAAAAAATTTACAGTTTTCTATATACCTCACAGTACCTATCACAATACTTTGCACATAACGACTCAAAATTTTGGATTAGACAGCCTCAGCTAGTGTTTTTCAAATAGCAGGTCACAACCCATGAGTAGAATGTACAATCAACCCAGAAGGTCATAGCCAGTATTTTCGTTTTTAATGAAAGATGAATAGAAAACAGTACATCTTTCAAAGTAAAGGTAAGTAATATTTCACAAACTCTTGTTTCATCACATATATATGTGACTATTAGAACATAATATAAAATACATTTCTTATATGTGCTACATTTTTAAAAAAGTTTGAAAGCTGCTAATGTAGACAACCCAATTTCTAGGCTCAAGGATTTTACATTCAAACCAGGGAGATTTGTTGTCCACCAAACCTCACACCATCCAGGAAACATCAACTCAACAGAGTACATACATACATTGGGGCTGAAGAAGACAAAGCTTAAAAGAGTGATGAATATAGGGGAAAGTTTGTAAAGAAATATTTATTGAGGATGTTTGGAAACAACACTGGATACTTACTTTCCAGCTTCTGCCATCGGTTTAGTCAAAAAGACCCCTCTACAGAAACAGGGCTTCTGAAATTTGTTTTTCAAAGCACTCACAGTTGAACAGTCCTCACTGCAGCCTGCAATACTGTACAAGGGTGTGCAGGACTTGGCCCCAACTATGCCAACTTCATTTCCTACCCCTTTCTACCTCAATCACTGCCCTCTAGCCACATGGCTTCTCTGCTGTTCCAAGAACATTCCAAGTTTCAGGGCCTCCGCACTTGCTGTATCCTCAACCATATCCTTTCTCCTTTAGATATTCCTCACTTGATTCGGGTTTCTCTTTAAATGTCCCATCTTCATATATGCCCTCCCTGACCACTCTATCTAAACAAGACCCTGACTCCCTATTCCCTTAACCTACTTTATGGGTTCTCATAACACTTATCACCTTCTAACACACTATTACATATTATTTTGTGGTCTATCCCAGGGATCTACAAACTTTTTCTGTAAAGAGCCAGATAGTAAATATTTTTAGCTTTCTCTGTCACAGCTATTCAACTCTGCCATTTTAACACAAAAGCAGCTTAGACAATACATAAATGAGCAGATGTGGTTGTGTTCCAATAAAACTTTATTTACAAAAACAGGCAGCTGGTTGGATTTGGCGTATGAACCACAGTTGTCAACTCTTGCTATTTCACTTCAAATAGAATGTGAATGTCTTAGAGATAGGAATTTTCTCTGTTTTGCTCACTATGGTATCCCTGTGGCCAGAACAGCGTCTGACTCCAAATAAGTATTCAATAAGTATGCATAGAGTGAATGCATAGTACTAGAATGGAAAGGTGAATAATGTTACATTCCTCTTCTACCTCCCCAGGTAACAATACCATGGTATTGAAGAAGAGTAAAGACAAGATCAGAAGCTCCATACCCATTTGGTAAATGGCCCCACATCCACTGTGTGCCCCTATCACCAGCAACAACCATCTCACACATAAATGCATTTCTATCTGGGTCCAGGTAGGACCTTGTTAAAACAGATTGCTGGGCCCCGCCCCCAGAAATTCTGATTGGGTAGGTGTAGGATGGGGTCCAAGAATCTGTATTTCTAGCAAGTTTCCAGATGATGTTGATACTGCTGGTCCTGGGACCACACTTAGAGACCCACTGGCTAAGAACACCCAAAAACTATAGTTCTAGCATTTTTACACTATTTTTTAAAAAGCTACAAATTCCTGATGCTCCAGTGATTTGGCTGGAGAGGGACTGAAAAAGAATAGAACCATAAAACGAACTGATCAGTGGAAGTGTTGCTTCAGTAAAATGAAGGCAGAAAAACACTAGGCATCTAATTTTTAACAGACTATCTTCTGAATCTAGTTTTAACTGGCTAAAACAACAAGCCAAGCAGGTAAGAGAGAGAAATCATAGTGGGTGGCTAACCTTAATAGTGGGCTAAGTATAGGTCCAAATCAGTTTCTTTAAAATTACTTTAAAGAAAGATCACTATTTGCTTTTCTATTGTTAGATGTCAAAAGGCTTTTCAGGATTGATACTACAGATCAAATTTCATTACAATGAAATATACCTACAATAAATTACCAAACCTAGAGATCAATTTCTTCAAATGATGAAAATTCTACACCACCAGATAGAACTCATACGTATCCTCTGAATTCACCATACTAGAACTTGCAGTGGCCTAGTAACAATTTTTACAAGTTCTACATTTCTCAGCAGGGTACTTTAAAATACTCCCACAAACTCACACTAAAATCACCCTGAAGCCATTACTTACTCCTCCAACCTGAACTGCCCACAAACGGATTAAAATTTATGTACATTAGTACCTGTTTATAAAATGGGTTTCTATTGTGGTGCTGATTATATGTTGCTAGAATAGGTTAAAAAATCATTTTAAGGTGAAAAAGTAATGTAAAATCTAGGTTCTTAGGAGAGAAACTGAAGAAGCAGGTATCCAGAATGTTAATGGCTGGCCCAATATGTAGAATGCAATGCTGTATCAAAATGTACCTAGAAAAAACGCCAGTACTAGCAGACTCTCAATGCACAGTCTATAGATGTTTCTCAGGTAAGATCAGGTATTTTTGATGAAAACTTAGCATCCGAATTAAAATATGCTAAGTGCAAAATACACACCAGATTTAAGACTTCATATGAAAAAAAGTGTAAAAATATCTCACTAACAATTTTTATGTAAGTTACTTGTTGAAATGATATTTCGGATATACAAGGTTAAGTTATTAAACGATTTAAATTAATTTCACCTCTTAATTTTTTTAATGTGCCTACCAGAGAATTTAAAATTAGATATGTGGCTTGCATTACATTTCTATTGGATAGCAATGGTCTATCCCAGTTCTGGAATTAGATCTGCTATCTCCTCTTCCATTGGGTGGCTTCTAAAAAGCTTGTAGAAAATGATCCAGAGAAATGAAGGAACATGAAGATACATGATATGTCCCACATGGGGTAAAGACCCTTGATCCTGGCCTACAGGAAACACCACAGGTCAGGTACTCCTCCACTGTCACTTAGGCCTAATCATCATTTTTCCTAGGGAAGGGAAGTCCCATCCATGCGACCACTATGTATATCCGCACCTACAGCCATACAACACACTGAACAGTTTACATTCAAACTACAAATTAACTGTACCAGAATCCTAACAGTATTAAGAAGGCTGAGCATCAAGATCTCTGAATATGAAAACTACCTGGTTCCCATCCATCATCCAACCACCCTTACAGAAAAGAAGGAACACATCTGTAACAACTTCTTTATATAATCCATGGCTGCTTTACTTCAATGTCCTTAACTCCTAATTTAATAAGCTTCTCCTTTGCTTGCACTGCCAAACCTCTACAACCACAGAGGGCACCAAAGGAGAATACTGGTGGAACAAGAATAACAGAAGGAGGGTCTAGCTATTCACCCCAACACTTGTTAGTTATATAACCATTAGGACTTCATAAAAACCTATCATACAAAAACTACACTGAACACAAAAATTAAACGTTCAATTCCTTGAACTCTTTTCTAAACATCAAAAGATAATTCAGACCTATGAGGAATAACCTAATCGAACATACTTTAACATATGTGGATGTGCTGAGACTTCAGAATGACAGTTTAAGTGCTATATTATTAAGGAAAGAAATGTACTGATGGGCAGAATTAGAAGTAACTGTGAAACGAAAATGAAATTTTTGAATATTTCATTTCGAATACTGACAAAACATTAAAATACTTACACGATTTAGTTATCCTATGATTTAGTCAAGCCTATGCAGAAGGAATGCATTTAACTTCCAAACAAGTGTTTCAAACACACTGAATATTATCATTCTCCAGCAAAAGATCAACAACTTATGGCAAGCACTGGGGATGACTTTGAGGGGAACTAAAGTAGGCAGTCCATAAATATTCACTGAATGAATGACTTGAATGAACCAGAAAACTCACACACATAGTGCAATGAATATGTAGAACCCATGGCCAGTTAATATGAAACCAGAGCCAGAAACAGAACAAAATAGTACCGCTGTCTCACACCAGGCCATTCCCCCAGTAGTCAGCTCCCTCAGGTTATTTTTGCTCTATGGAGTTTATTCATCCCCTCTTACTTTGATAAAAGTTCTAGGTCCTCCTTCCCATAATTCCCCTCCCTCTTAACCAGCTTCCCCAGATAAAAACAGAGAGCATTTTCCAGTCTATCTTTTTAGATAAGAATTAACGTACTTAATCACCCACAAATGCTCACTGGTCCTCTCACAGGACAGACATTACACTAGGTAGTAGGCTACAAAGGTAAGTGTAACACTATACCTGCCCTTCAGGTAGCTTGGGGTGGGAGTGCGGGGGACAAGTAAACAATTACAGCATTAAAAATGCTGAGAGAATAAGGCAGGAGAGTGACACTGGAGGGAGGGAAAGAGGGTGACAGTCTTAAAGGAACAACAGAACAAAAGACATAACCAAAATATAAAGTGTAGTCGAATACACTTGTGATTGTTCTAGTAATCGAGAGAATAAGGCAGGAGAGTGACACTGGAGGGAGGGAAAGAGGGTGACAGTCTTAAAGGAACAAAAGAACAAAAGACATAACCAAAATATAAAGTGTAGTCGAATACACTTGTGATTGTTCTAGTAATCAACTCATCAACTTAGCACTCTAAAAAGTGCCTCTCCTAATGAAAATCCTCTTACTACAGAAAAAGTTGAAGTCCATAACGCTGACATTGAATATCAGAAAGATAGAAAAACCCACACAATTTGACAGAGGATAACGTGCAAACCTAATTAGTCATGATGTCTAGAGGCCTCACACACTTATCGTTCTGTCCCTCCTAGCGGAAGATGACACAACTATCCCACTCTTGTGATTTCAGTTGCTTTTTTTTCTCCAAGCAGCAGTGATGGATTACAGGAATCCATCCAGCCTTTCTCCCCAATACTCCCTGTGGCCACTGGCTAAGTTTGCTGGACTGCTGGTTGGGACTATGGTCTTAGAGGAGATGAGACCAACTGACTGTGTATATGAACTGGATGGACTCACAACTCTGCTTTGCTACAATTCAGAAAGACAGCAACTACAAACAATTCTATAGACAGTAACCACGGTTAACTAACACAGGGAGGGTCGCAAGGGAAGTGGTAGGGACAGCACTGTGGAAGGTGCCCAACAAGGCAACTCATCTCTTGTTCATTCCGCTGCACTCTGAGTTTTCACCTCTTGGTACCTGGCTCTCAGGACAATCCATCAGGCACAGGAGCTAGTTTTCTGTTTCTGACACCCGGTAGCTACAGATCACTTCCAAGCTTCATACCTACCTTGTTCATCTTTGCTCTGCCAACCCACCTGGCCTCTTGTCCTTACCATCCCAAGAACACCATGTCTTTTCCTGACCACTCACTTCCTTTCCAAGTAATCTAGGTAATATGTTCCCTTAGGAAACTGCTTTATCCCAGATCTCCAGCATGAATCAGGACATGGCTAAGATATAATAATTACCACA